AAAACTTTGCTATGGTGCCTTTAGCCCAGATTAGCTCCGGTGCGACCCGGTGCAGCTTCAACATCAGGCTCCGGACAAGGTTCCGGAGGGTTCTGGTGCAGATACCTCGTGAGGTTCCGGGGGGTTCCGGTGCAGATAGCTCGTGAGGTTCCAGAGGGTTCCGGTGAAGATACCTGCTGAGGGAGGATTGTGCAGATACCTTGTGAGGTTCCGGAAGTTTCCGGTGCAGGTACTCGGTGAGGTTCCGGAGGGTTACGATGCAGATACTTGGCGCAGGTACCTGGTGAGGTTCCGGAGGGTCTAGGTGAAGATGCGCGGTGAGGTTGCGGAGGGTTCCGGATTCCAAAGGGTTCCGATGTTTTTTATGGCCTAAGCACTTAATATACATATATATATATATTTTTGTGTGGCATAAGCGCTTAGTTTTTATGGCATAAGCACTTCTTTTATGGCAAAAACGCAGAAGCTTTCAAGCTGTTGGGGATAGCACCTGAGTTTGTTCCCGAATGCCTAGCAAGGGTTTCCGTTTCACTCTGGGGGTCTGGGGGTTGAGGGTGTGTTCGCTCGACGTGGCCTAACTGTCCGGAACAGTCCGCAACCGTTCGCGCGATCCCCGTATGGCCGAGCCTATGGTAAGTTCTGCAGAAGGGGTCATTTTTGGAGGTTTCAAACGTCGCGTTGCTTCGTTTCGCGTGGCAAGCGTGGCACTTCGTGACATTCAGACGTGCTCGTAACGTTTTGAAAATCGTTTTGCTTGGCGGGCGCAGTACTTCTGCGACGTTTGCGCAAGATGAGTTGCAGTTTTCGTGGCAGGCGCAACACTTCGGACATGTCCATCATCATTTTGCGTGGCGGGCGCAGCACTATAGACGTGTCGTGTTGCCGGTTTTTTGCGAATCGCATTGTCAGGGTTGCGTCAAGTGGCGACAAGGTGCAAATTCCGTGGCAGGCGTGGCATTTTGTGAGATGTGATGAAAATTGACGGAAGCCTCGCACGAAACATCGATTTTGAGGTAGCAAATTTAGAGGTTTCTAAGGAAAACTCGTGGGAAAACGTCGATTTTGAAGCTACAAAGTGTCAAAATTAGAGGAAGTCTCGCACGAAATGCTCGTTTTGATGCTCCCACGTGTCTCGTCTCGAGTCTCTGGTTTTCCTGTGCGTCGCCGTGTCTATGGGGGAAGCTGCAAAACCTCTCCTTTTCGAAGGTTTCCAAGCTCATGTTGTTTTGCATGGCAGGCGCGGCGCTTTGTGACATTCCAACCTGTTTGATATAACGTGTCGAAAGTCGTTTGGTGTGGCAGGCGCAATTCTTTTGCGTCGTTTTCACAAGATGAGTTGCAGTTTTCGTGGCAGGGGCAGCATTTTGGAGATCTCTGTCGTCATTTTGCGTGGCAGCACAGCACTTCAGACGTGTCGCATTGCGTGCTCTACACTCCACGCTCTACACTCCACACTCCACCCTTTACACTCCACCCTTTACACTTCACACTCTACACTTTACATTCCACACTTGACACTATACACTCCACACTTTACACTCCACACTTTACACTCCACACTTTTCACTCTACACTTTTCACTCCGCACTCCACACTCCACACTCTACACTCCACACTGTACACTCCACACTCCACACTCTACACTTTACACTCCTCACTCTACACTTTACATTCCACACCTTACACTCCACACTCCACACTTTACACTCCACAATTTACACTCCACACTCTACACTCTACACTAAGCACTCCACACTTTACACTTTACACTCCGCACTTTACATTCCATACTTTCCACTCTACACTTTACACTCTACACTGTACACTCCACACACTACACTCCACACTCTACACTCCACACTCTACACTCCACACTCTACACTTTACACTCCACACTTTACACTCCACACTTTACACTTTACGCTCCACACTCCACACTTTACACTCCAAACTTTACACTCCAGACTCCACACTTTACACTCCACGCTTTACACTTTGCACTCCACACTCCACACTTTACACGCCCCACACTACACACAACACTCCCCAGTTTACACTTTACACTCCACACTTTACACTTTACACTCCACACTTTACACTCCACACTCTACACTTTACACTCCTCACTCCACGCTTCACACTCCACACTTCACACTGTACACTCCACACTCCACACTTTACACTTCACACTCAGCACTTTACACTTTACACTCCGCACTTCACACTCCACACTCTACACTTTGCACTCCACACTTTACCTTGTACACTCCGCACTCCACACTACACTTCACACTCAATACTTTACACTTTACACTCCTCACTCCACACTCCACACTTTACACTCCACACTTTACACTCCACACTCCTCACTCCAGGCTTTAAGACTTCACACTGCACACTTTACATACCACACTTTACACTTTACACTCTACACTCCACACTTTACACTCTACACTTTACACTCTACACTTTACACTCTACACTTTACACCCTACACTTTACTCTAGACTCAGCACTTTACACTTTACACTTCACACTTCAAACTCCACACTTTACACTTTGCACTTCACACTCCGCAATCCACACTGTACACTTTACACTCAATACTTTACACTGGACACTCCTCACTCCAAAATCCACACTCTACACTTTGCACTCCACACTTTACCTTGTACACTCCGTACTCCACACTTTACACTTCACACTCAATACTTTACACTTTACACTCCACACTCTACACTTTACACTCCACACTTTACATTCCACACTTTCCACTCTACACTTTACACTCCACACTTTACACTCCACACTCCACACTTCACACTCCGCACTCTACACTGAACACTCCACACTTTACACTTTACACTCCGCACTTTACAGTCCACACTTTCCATTCTACACTTTACACTCTACACTGTACACTCCACACTCTACACTTCACACTTCACAGTCCAATCTCCAGACTCCACACCTTACACTCCACATTCGACACTTTACACTTTACACTCCACACTTCACACTCCACACTCCACACTTTACACTTTACACTCCGCACTTTACACTCCACACTTTACAGTCCACTCTTTACACTCTACACTTTACACTCCACACTTTACACTCTATACTTTACACTTCAGACTCTACACGCCACACTCCACACTTAGCACGCCACCTTCTTCCCTATTCCACAGTCTACGGTGCACTGGTATGGCAACAGGGGAAAAATGTACAAGACTGTTCAAATAAACTGATTCACAAAAGTGTTCTACGTGACTGCATATCCATGTGTTTCGACATCTGTGCCATTAACATACGTGTGAGCATTCGGGTTCGTGGGCTGCATCTTGTTTTTTCAATTGCACCACCGCAGGCCCCAAATAGTGGGTGGATTCAAGAAGTGTTTTGAGGAACAGGTTCAAACACATGGGAAAGCATTAAGAACCGCAGACAGACACTGTTTGGAGAAAAATGCAAAATGAGACCACCGGCCACAAATGGAAACAAAAGAGAGACAAACTGGGAAAAACTGGAAGACAAGATGGGAGACGAGCTGGGGGGCAAAGTGGGAGACAAGCCGGGAGAGAAGCTGGGAGACAATCTGGGAGACAAGCTTGGAGACAAGGGGAACAAGGAGACAATGGGAGACAAGGAGAGACAAGACCTCGGGAAGGCGGACACACCATCCACCACAGGCACACATGTGGGGAGACAATGTGACACAATGGGAGACAATGGGGGACAATAAGAGACTTTATATTTTTCATATGTATATACAACTACACATATAATGGTATATATCATACATAGAGGTGCTTTCCCTGCAATAGGACTTGAACCCGGAGTTCAAGAAACAGTTTTTGCACACGCTTGGCTCAAGTGCTGACAGTCGCTGACACCAATCAAAACCCCATCACGCCCTGTCATGCAACAAACTTGCCATGATCAGCCCCTCGTTGTCTGAAATATGGTGCACAACCTACAATTAAACTGAAGGGAGGATGTGCTGGGTGTTTAAGACCCAAAGCACCACTTGCAATCTTGGGTCCCAATCTCAGGGAATTTCCCTCACATAATTTGCGGACACTGAAAACCATGTAAAGCACAGGTGATCCTTAACATCATAGTCTTGACAGGTTGCATTGATAGTGTAGGCTTTTTATATCTCTTTATCATCCCGCCTCAGTGATTTTTCTCCGCAGTAAACCAAACTGTTCCTTGATCTTTGCATCCCCCGGCCAACCCGACCATCTCTCCTGAACTCTCACAAACCTGACTTTTTTTGTTCGATTTTGTTTGCAAAGGAAGAACCCGAACTTCCACACCCCACTAGCCGTCATTAGCCACTAGACAGCACCAAACCAGTGGAACTAGTATTTGCAGCTGAGTTTTGTAGATTGCAATGGCGATGGCAGCCTTAGATGCGATTCCTGAGAGATACGCTCTGGTGATTTGCGATGACTCTTGGCGAGTGTAAGACTCCACAGTTTCATGTACTTTGCATTCAAAAACAGTGAAGGCAGAAAACTTGACCAAAGTTGGAATGCTAAGTTTCCTCTCGTCCAGTCTGGACTTGCACTTTCATAAGGATGTAGCAGCAGATGTGTTTCAGGCATTGTATTGAAGTAGAGAGGAATGACTGGCCAACATGTGGAACAACCCAGACTCCAAGTCGGGATAGGAACTTCAGGTTTTGTGGCAGTGAAAATCATCCTTCAGATTTGTTTTTTTTCTCCCCCCAACAGCGTTAGTTTGGGGGTCTCAGCCCAAAAACTGGCTCGGTGCTTTCGGTGCAGGATGGTGGTTCCATGTGGTTCCAGGTTCCTGTGTGGTGATTCCGAAGTGGGTCCGGTGTGGTTCCAGTATGGTTGGCTTGAATGTGATGGGCATTCATGGCTGGTGTCGCATTTTCCGAACCTACCACCTTTGCCACTGGGGATACCACCTGGGTTTATTCAGTTCTTCAGATAATATACTTAGTTGCTTTGGTTCCCGCGAATGTAGTTTTGCCACTCTTCAAATCTCTAGATCGAACTGACGGGCACCACTCTCTGGTCCTGACCAAAGGATTTCGCCCAGATTCTTGCCCTGTACCTCATGCATGCTGCTGAAATACAGTGCATCTCCACTGCTTGTCAAGGCCCAGCCGGACTTGCTGAACTCTCTTCCGCAGGCAAGAGTGGGTCAGAACCCCTCCTAACATATGGTGTTCAAAAGGGTTTGGAACCACTTGAGGGTTTTGATACTTGGACCTTCAGAAAGAAATTCTGATGTGAGGCAAGCCAAGGAAAGCAGTTGGCAAGGGTGTGTTTGAAACTTTGTTCCCCAAGCCCAAAATAAAATCAGTGGCATTGGCATTGGGCCAATTTCTTTTGCATTCTTTTTGCCATTGAAGGATTGACCGAATTGCAAATGTTTCCAAAGCACTTTTCCAGTTTCGTAAAATGTTTCGAGGTACTTACACTTAGGCCTAGGCATGGGTCGCATGGATCACTCAGGGGAGTCGTGACGAGCTTCTACAGCACATCCACGAACTCTTGGAGGCTGTGTGGAAGGTGACTAGTGATTGCGCTCAATTTGGTCAATCCACCACAAATCCCTAGATATAAGCCATTGTTTACAAGTTTACAAACACTTCTGGCCTTGCTCATGGGGTTGTTTGTGGTGGCGGCGCCCCTCGAAGGGCGGGACTGTTGTCACTTTTGCAAATGGTATGTTTTGGAGGGGGGTGTTTTGGGGGGGTGCGTTTCATGGGGGGGGGTGGTTTGGGGGGGTGTAATAACGTTCTTTCGTCTGGGTTTCAAAGAGGTTGCAACATTGCTACGTCGTAACATCTTTTTCAAGTAACTTCCAAGACGCTCTTGATACGTTGTAACATCTTCTTCAAGTAACTTCCAAAAAATGCGCTTGCTACGTTGTAACATCTTCTTGAAGTAACTTCCAAGACGCTCTTGATACGTTGTAACATCTTCTTCATTGACCAAACCTGGGATCATATGAAGTCATACATCCCACGTAGTCTTTCTTCCAGGAAGTTAAATGCACACGAAGCAACAGCAGCGCTGATGAAACACTGCCTAATAAGGCAATGGTTGCATGAAGTCTTGGCTCCTGGCTACTCCCTATGGGATCAGTTGGCCAAGCTTTGAGAAAAAACACAACAACAAAGTTGGACTGTGGTGTCTCGCATGATGATGAAAAAAGGCTGTCGAATTATCACTTTGAAAAGCGCTGAAAGCGCCGCACCTCCACAGGCGTCGTAACCTTGTTTGTCCCTTTGTCACGGGTCATGCGTGGCTCGTGTCACAGACAACATCATATATTAAATACCGGCCAAAATAGCATTTACAGTCTTATGGGAGTGATGGCTTTGGATGCTTTCGAAAGTTGATAGTTCCTCACCAGCAATGAGAGACAAAATGGGGCAAGGATTCGGGTTACGACTAAGGCAGTAGCTGAACACATGTACAAAGAGATCAAAGAGATTGAAAACAGTAGCATAGAGCTTTTCTGAGCCGCGAAGCTGTCAGGGTGCCCGGCGGCAGAAGTGGCTTGTGATCTTCACAGGTTTGCGCTTCAAGTCGGGCTATGTGCCATGACTGCAGTTCGTAGGAAGCTTGTCAGAATACCGCAGGTATTGCCACCCCACCCGAAATTCGTACTAACTGGCTGATCCGCTTCCATTAAACTTGACCTTATTTTATTGCCTCCTAACGCCTTGCGACTTCACCGTGCCACCTGTTTTACACCAAGGCAGGGGTTCCTCGTCGGCACAGAGTGTTTGGAGGATTGCAACGCATGAATGCTGCCCAGGCCGGAAGCTCAGATTGGCTCGGATTGGCTCAGATTGGCTTAGATTGGCTCGGACAAGAAACCCCTAACGAGCCAAGTGAGGACCAGTTCCCGTTACCTGCCCCATGACATCCGATGACCACTATCGTATATCGGATCAGTATCGCTTGCGTCAAATGTTCATCCGTCTGGTCTGTCTGCCACTGACATGACTCTCATCCGTGACTGTGGCCAGGGCGATGAGCGCGTTCATTGGTTCATGGAGGGCTTCCAAGGGGCTGAGATTGTGCGAGGCGCATCATCGGCATCATGATGCGATCTATATAATCCAAATCTAAATCTACAGGTTTGGAGCTCCGAGGTGAACTGCCTGAAATGCCTGCTGAAAGAAATGAGGTTTTGCGATTCCCAGGATCTTCGGAACAAGCCGTGCTGCAGGGCCGTGCTGCATGACCTTGCAGCTTAGTGGATTTGTGTTCTCCGTGCCCTGGCCTTGCAGATCTAGCTCCTCAAGAGGGCGAGACCGTGCTGTGGCGCCAACGAATGCGTGGGGAAACCCGGTCAAAACATAAACGCGAGAAGTGCTGATATGAGTCTCAAGATTTCTTTGGTCTTTAAAACTTTACTTCTTGAATCTTTTTGATTGGTAGTGTTTGGGCTGTGGCTGAGGGGAAAGTACTGGGAATTGTGAATCGTCTGATGAGCAGGTCACGATAGCAGTCTCGTTGACACTTTGAAAGCGAAGAATGTGACCAAAGTCTGGCATCCCAGATCGTGGGAGTGATAAGTTGAGAAACCTGAAGCCTTTCCATTGCAACATGCCTGCGTTGGGTGTTTTGAATTTCCGTTTCTCTGCGGGGGGTCTTGTTGGCAAAACTCCTTTCGGTCCGTTTTTGCAGCAAGGGGGCCTGGTATGGTCTTAGTTTTGCCAATGTCAGCGGTTGCCGCACAGAGTGGATAGAGTGTTTGAACGACGCTTCTCATCTTGCCACATCCTGGGTTGACTGAGCGATCCCAGGTGGCACTTGCAGGGTTGAAGACGGGGCAAGGCGCCACATACATAATTCAAGACATGGTCTGGCAAATCAGGGGGTGCTAGTGGATGAACCTGATTGGGCGCAGCATGAATTTGCCCACACTTCAGTTACATGTGTTTTGGAGAGGCAACAAGCAGGATGACAAGGTGAGGGGAGCTTGTGATGGTTCGTTCAGAACAGCAGGTCCGAACGCATCCTAGCACGTCCTAGCAGGTCCTAGCAGGTCCTAGCAGGTCCTAGCAGGTCCTAGCAGGTCCTAGCAGGTCTTCGCTATCCAAGCTCCAGGACCTGTTACAGTCGCATGGTGAGGTCTCTTGGCAGCTGCAGAGCTGCTAGCTGATGAGGGGCTGTTGCTTTACGTGGCGCCGCTTGGCGACATCCCTTGACTGGCCTTGACTTGTCCCTTTGACAAAGTTGACGCAATTTGAAAGTGATCGGAGACAACTGGCTTGCAGTTTGGTCACATCCCTTTGCGCACCACAGGTTTTGTTTTTCACCATCAGAACGTTCATGTCTGAAAAGAATTGAACAGATGGATATGCGATGATATGCGATATGTGCGATGATGTGCAGAAAATGCCCTGATTGTTGACAGTCTTTACTAGTTGTTAGCAGCTGTTACTGTAGCATATATGCCTTAACATATGCCCTGTCTTTTGCACGTGAGACCGGCCTCCAAGGCGCGAGTGCGTTGCTGATGACAAGGTGGAGCGAGGTGAGGCTGTGTTAGGAGCCCAGTGAACCTGTGTGAACCGGATTGCGAACAGACGTTTTAGCCGTGGGAAGCTGAGGCTGCAACACGTCCTTCCCCACCTGGCTGATGCTTTAGCCTCAGAGCATTTGATGGCTTCTGCGCCAGATTGTGCATGTGGATTCATGTGAATATCCAACAGAACAACAGCTTTCATATGTCACGCTGGTAGGTGGTGCCTGTAGATGGCGTAGGAGCAAGGGTTATTCCAGTAGTACCGCACAAGGCGGGGGCGGAAGTTGCAAAGATAGGACACCTATAGGAGAGCTTGGTTGTTGTGTGACGCATGGATGGCAGAGAAAACCCACTGATGGATCGAAAGGTGGTTGGGGTGTTGGGCTATCTACCTATCTACCTATCTATCTATCTATCCATCCATCGATCTATCTATCTATCTGTCTAATCTCTCTATCTGTCTATCTGTCTATCTGTCTATCTGTCTATCTGTCTTTCTGTCTATCTACCTATCTATCTATCTATCTGTCTGTCTGTCTGTTTGTCTGCCTGTCTGTCTATCTGTCTATCTGTCTATCTGTCTTTCTGTCTTTCTGTCTTTCTGTCTTTCTGTCTATTTGTCTATCTGTCTATCTGTCTATCTGTCTATCTACCTATCTGTCTATCAATCTATCTGTCTGTCTGTCTGTCTATCTGTCTGTCTGTCTATCTGTCTATCTGTCTATCTGTCTATCTGTCTATCTGTCTATCTGTCTATCTGTCTATCTGTCTTTCTGTCTATCTGTCTATCTGTCTTTCTGTCTTTCTGTCTTTCTGTCTATCTGTCTATCTGTCTATCTGTCTATCTACCTATCTATCTATCTATCTATCTGTCTGCCTATCTGTCTATCTGTCTATCCGTCTATCTTTCTATCTTTCTATCTGTCTATCTGTCTACCTGTCTACCTGTCTATCTGTCTATCCGTCTATCTGTCTATCTGTCTATCTGTCTATCTGTCTATCTGTCTATCTGTCTATCTATCTATCTATCTATCTGTCGATCTACCTATTTGTCTATCTGTCTATCTGTATATCTGTCTATCTGTCTATCTGTCTATCTGTCTATCTGTCTATCTGTCTTTCTGTCTATCTGTCTATCTACCTATCTATCTATCTGTCTGTCTATCTGTCTATCTGTCTATCCGTCTATCTTTCTATCTGTCTATCTGTCTATCTGTCTATCTGTCTTTCTGTCTTTCTGTCTATCTGTCTATCTGTCTATCTGTCTATCTGTCTATCTGTCTATCTGTCTATCTGTCTATCTGTCTATCTGCCTATCTGTCTATCTGTCTATCTGTCTATCTGCCTATCTGTCTATCTGCCTATCTGTCTATCTGTCTATCTGTCTATCTGTCTATCTGTCTATCTGTCTATCTGTCTATCTGTCTATCTGTCTATCTGTCTTTCTGTCTATCTGTCTATCTACCTATCTATCTATCTGTCTATCTATCTATCTATCTATCTGTCGATCTATCTGTCTATCTGTCTTTCTGTCTATCTGTCTATCTGTCTATCTGTCTTTCTGTCTTTCTTTCTGTCTTTCTGTCTATCTGTCTATCTGTCTATCTGTCTATCTGTCTATCTGTCTATCTGTCTATCTGCCTATCTGCCTATCTGTCTATCTGTCTATCTGTCTATCTGTCTATCTGTCTATCTGTCTATCTGTCTATCTGTCTACCTGTCTATCTGTCCATCCATCCATCCATCCTATCTATCGTATCTATCCATTCTATCCACTCTATCTTATCTATCTTATCTATCTTATCTATCTTATCTATCTTATCTATCTTATCTATCTTATCTACCTTATCTATCTTATCTATCTTATCTGTCTATCCAATCTATCTATCTATCTATCTAATCTTATCCTATCCTATCTTATCTTATCTTATCTGATCTTATCTTATCTTATCTTTCTATCTATCTACCTACCTACCTATCTATCTACCTGCCTACCTATCTATCTATCTATCTATCTAGCTAGCTATCTATCACTATCTATCACTATCTATCACTATCTATCACTATCTATCACTATCTATCACTATCTATCACTATCTATCACTATCTATCACTATCTATCACTATCTATCACTATCTATCACTATCTATCACTATCTATCACTATCTATCAGTATCTATCACTATCTATAACTATCTATCACTATCTATCACTATCTATCACTATCTATCTATCTATCTCTATATCTATATCTATATCTATATCTATCACTATCACTATCACTATCACTATCACTATCACTATCACTATCACTATCACTATCACTATCACTATCACTATCTATAAATTCTATCTTTCTATCTTTCTTATCCTATCTATCTATCTAATCTATCTAATCTATCTAATCTATCTGTCTATCTATCTGTCTGTCTGTCTGTTTGTCTGTCTGTCTTTCTGTCTACCCATCCATCCATCCATCCGTCCATCCATCCATCCATCCATCGATCCATCTATCCATCTAACACACGCATAATTCTTTCTGACCACACATCTTTCACATACAATCTTTCACACACAACTCTGTCACCCACAACTCTTTCACACACACACAGACGCATACCTCTTCCCCGGGCAACTCTTCCACATACACTTCTTTTACACACCAAATCTTTCACACACGACTCTTCCACTAACAGCTCTTTCGCACACCAAATCTTTCACACACAATTTTTCCACCAACAGCTCAAACACATGCAGCACTTTCACATACAACTCTTCAAAGCAATCGATTCTGCACTATCTCCTTTGTCTTTCTGCCTTTCCCGTCCCGCTTCCACCGCCTTTTTGCAATTCCTGGAAGAAATTGACATGTGGGGCTATCCGGTTCTTTAATCTCAGCAACCTTGATGTGGTTGACTCCGCAGCAAACATTGCTGCCGAGGTGTTGAGTTTTGAAGATTTGAGGAGTGAACCATGGCCAAATCTCTGTGTTTCATTGGCAAACGGCTATGATTTTCTCTTTCATCCACAGTGCAAAGCTGGGGCTCAACAAAGTGTTCCTGAAAAATTTGTCAGAATCTTACTCTCTACTCAAGCTGAACTCATGGTAGTACCTTCTTTGCAGGCAAGTAGCGAACCCTGCCCCTGTTTTGATCGAAGGACGCAGCTAGCACACGAGATAATGATGGACATGCTCTCGCGGCATGTTTTCGCACTGCTGGGTCAGGTGGAGGGTACTGCTGTATGTTCCACTGAAATGATCTCGAACATGGCTAGCACAGCCATGCTTGTGGAGTGTTGCTACGCATGCTTCGAGATCAATAGGCACGCCTGGGCCACATTCACTTAAGCCTGATGCAAACTGTCCCATCAGTACTAAATTCTTCACATCCAGCCTAGCCTACAGACACAGAGTCTGTTTGGACGGAACTGGGCATATACGCCGATCATAAGGCTAACTGAATTGCCCGAAGGTTTCTTTCAAAGGTTCTTTCTTTCCTTTCTGCAGATAGGTTTGACCCAAAATCCTCCGCCGTTTAAAACCGTTGCCAGGTTTGTCGAGTTCAAAACAGTGAAACGTGCTGGTTAGCAAAGTCGCGTGTGTTTTAAGATATGACTCTGCCAAAGTGCCGCTGTTCGCCAGAAAATACCCAAGGATCCAGCGCTGTGTGAAGGGTTCTACAGGGAGTGCAGACAAACCAACAGACATTTCTCTTCTGTCCTTTTTAGCTTTAGTTTATGTCCGTATCAAACTTCCTGTCAAGCTGTTTCACATTTGGATATGGGTTGGTCGACCCGCATAGCTTGGTGGATAATGAAACTACAGTAGGACCATTACTTGGAGAGACACAAAGAGGTTTCGGAGATGCCCAGAGACAGTTTTCACCGCGTGTATTGGCAGCCTGTCGTTTGCACCAAGGTTGCCATGCTGAGATGCCAACGGTTGACTAACGTTGGCACGTTGATCCCAGCTACGGCACGACAGGCCTTGTTCCGTGGGTTGTTTTCAGATCCAAACATGGTCATATTTTATCATTCCTATAGCATGCATCAGAGATTAGCCAAAGTTAAGCACGGCTTAAACAACCCACCCCTGGCGGGCGCTCATCAGAGGTGCTGTGGGGTTGCCAGGCACAAGGGTTACAACGATTATGAAACTTAGTTAATGCACTGCTCGCGTGGCATTCTGCCATTCTGCCATCCATGCCTGCGAATTTGGGTTTGGCGATGATATCGTTCGAACAGTTTCCAAGCAGACAAATCATGAAAGAACCTTTGCAAATGGCTCACAGAATTTCAAAGACAGGCACTTGTCCAGGATGCTCAGTGAAGGATCAGAGCCAACTAGAATTCTCTGGCAGTGCAGCAGATGCCTTGCAACAGGATCATCCCGTCGCTGCATGCAGTATGAACAGTGTCAAGTCCATTTTGCAAGGTGGTGCCCCCCCAGTTGTAAGTTGGTTTATAACCCCCATTAAGTATAGGTATATCTACCATAAACCCAAGTTATTGGAGTTATAAACCAACTTAGCTAACTATGGGGCACCACCTTGTGGGAACTGATGGACAGATGAATCATTTTTGCTGACAGGAGAAAGTTAAAATCAATTTCAATTTCAGCGAATACCTGCTGAACAAGACCCCCCAAACCACCAGTAAAAACCACTTCAGGGAGTCAAGCTTTGAGCTCCTGGCATTTTTTCCCCCCCACCAAGCAAGCGCTCACTTCCTCAAACTGTTGATCACAGAAAGAAGAAAGCGCCTCGAACAAATACATTGAGTGGAACTTTGGTCACACATTGAAATGGCCACCTCTTGCCAACTCCCCAGCATTGCTTTGATTCTTGTTTTCTTGAAACAGCGGAGCAAACCTGTGTCCGTGCGATGCAAGGGATCATATCCGGACATTCTCCAGAAGTTTCTCCAAACGTAGACAAACCCAATGCAAAATTAGCAAACAATAGAGCGCTGGAAACAGTATGAAATAAGAGACTCAGTCTCTAACTTAAACCCACAAGTGTAACATTATCGAACCCATGGACATGATTGTAAACGATGGTAAATGTATGTATGTGGTGATTTGCTGCCTGAAGTGGCGTTTCTTCCTGTTGTGTGGCAAGGTTTGGCACCTGTCTCACCAGCCCCTGCCGAAGAACTGGGGCCCCGGCCCTTCAAACTGATTGTTTGAACCGCGGAAAAAAAAGGCGGGAGGGCGCTACAGGATCTGGGCGCGTCACCCCGTTGGGCACCCTGGCTCAGCTTCCTTTGGGTCATGAACGAGTTGCTTTCACGAGTTGCTTTCACTTTTGTTTTTGCGATGTTTGCAGCCCATAGTGGTTCACGGGTCCAGACAACACTCCAGAGATGGAGCCGCCGGACATGCCCAGATCCCTGTGGCACCGTGTTTCAGGGGTCGTTTTCAGTGTTTTCCACCTTGGTTCACGTACTAGTTAGCTTCTACATCCACAGTATACAGATCCGCATGGCACATTGGCACTTCACTACATTAGTTTTCCATGTTCCAGGTGCTTCTGCATATCTGTGCCGCCGTGCTTTGAGGCCTCCACGGCCTTTGCCCCTGGATTCCTCAGCATTTCGTCGGAGGCTCGCTGTAAAGGTACAGCATGGGTACAGCAGCATCTTGTAATCAGCCTGTAATCTTGTTAGAGTTCTGTGGAGGTACCCGGAACCCGGTATGTAGCTTATGTAACCTTGCAGAACTGTATCAAGCACTTTCTTTGGCAAAGCTCTGTGTCATTTAGCAAGTGTGTATTTTCGATTTCCAGGGTCTTACTCTTCCCACACCTCCAAGTACTTTACACTATTCCGCGAATTTCCACGATGTGAATGCGTGAAACAACACAAGTCCCGGGTGTGTCATACACATTCACATTTATCATGTTGTCGCGTGTCGCTTCAGGCACATCAATGGTTTTCTAAATGTCCTTCAAATATAGCAAGAAATGGTTGCGAAATGGCGGCCCGCAGGATTGAATGGCACCCTATCCGAAAGACGTTTGTACCTCAACCCTATGATGATTGCTAGTCCTCTGAAGCGTCTGGTGTAAGGAGATTGCTCAGGGGATTCGCTGTGGTTGCGAAGCTGGGGCACAGGTTTCAGACCTTTGCTGCCGGCTACTCATTTTGCATGCTAGTTGCAGTATGCTTAGTCGTATACCCTGCTGTGCATGCATGCGTAGACCGCTACAGCCAAAAAAAGAGAGAGACAATACCTGGGTAATACAAATCAACTTTGTTGCCTATGCGTGGGGCACCTATAGAGTCCCGTTGTCCCTTTTTGAAGCGTAGTCATTGGTAGTGAAACTTGAGCTGATGGGTTCCTGTGGGCTGGTTTTGCAGCTTTGAGGGAGACTTGTTGTGGAGGGCAATCACTAAAATGTCCAGGTTGTACTTCCCTAGCAACAGGCTGAAGCAAAGGGATGATCCCTTGTAGGACCAACTGCCTTGAAGCAGCACAATCGTTTTGCGACTGTTGTATCTTTCTCGCAAAAGGACTGGGCGTGAAAAGGGGACTCTTGATGGGACTGTTATTGGACAGGTCATTAACAAATCAACCCAAAGGGATCATTATAACAAGATACCCTTGTCATCATGAAATCAGGCTCCAATCAGGAAGAAGACAGCATCAAGAAATATCAAGAATGCTTCAAGAGCCTGGCGCTATGCAAAGCCAGGCGTGCCGCAGCCGCCTTCTTGCTGTTGGACGAGGAAACAGATACTTCAGAGGCAATGGACCTAGTAACTTAGTGTCTGACGATGGGATTCCAGGGCAGATCAGCCTGGATGGGGCATGTGTTTGTGTTGCCCAGCCCCATGCGACAAGAAACAAACGCAGATGATGGCGACCTTTCTTACTGAAGCGGGCCTTGTGAAGATGAACAGCACATGATCCAAGAATATCCAATATGTTTGAATATATTATTATATTACATTTTGATATATATATACGTATATATATTGAAAGCAGCGAGGTAGTATAAACACTCATAATTACTTTTTGGGCCAAACTGACCCAAAACTGTGGCTAAAGGGATGGTAAAACCACCGGCAGAAGGGCCGGCACAACTCAAGAAACCCGATTTCTTTGGTTTTGTGGCCGGCAAACTTAGCGGCAGAACCTGTGGTTAACTCTGTAGGAACGAAAAGCCATGGCATTTGTGCCGGCAGGTCGTATGGCAGAGCATCCGAAGCAGTGATTCTTTCCACAAACTGACTTGGGCAATGCCCGGGCAATTGCAAAAAACGCTTAATTGATTGCCGCAACCTTGGCAGACGCCTGGCAAGAACCTGGCACAATCTTAGCAATAAATTGAAGGGCGAGTCGGCAGGAGGAACCTTGTTGGCGGAAACCCGGCACAACCCGGCGGAACTGACCTGGCGAAAGCCTGGAACCCAGCGGAACCCAGCGGAACCCAGCGGAACCCAGCGGAACCCAGCGGAACCCAGCGGAACCCAGCGGAACCTAGCGGAACCCAGCGGAACCCGGCGGAGCGGCGGAACCCAGCGGAACCCGGCGGAACCCGGCAGAGGAACCCGGCATAGGAACCCGGCGGAACCCGGCGGAGGAGCCCGGCGGAACCCGGCGTAGCTCGGCGGAACCCGGCGGAACACCTGGCGGAACCTGGCGTGGAGGATAACTTTTGCCATGGTTTATACTCCCAACCACCCCCCTTTCAACTTACTTTTTTTCCGCCGCCGCCAGGTTTCCGGTGTTCCGCCGGGTTTTGGTAGGTTCCCGGCGGGTTTCTGCCAGCCTCGGGCTTCTGCAAGGTTAGCAGGAAGCCGTCAGGTTTGCGTCAAGTTCTTATTCCCAGGTTTCTGCCAAGCCCCCGCCGTCTCCAACGCAAGACCCGTCACAACTAGTCACAATTTAAGCGTTCTTTTTCCAAAACGGTTTTCAGCTGAATTGTCAGCTCAGCACTGCTTGCCTGAGGGGCGGCGGCTGGTTGAGCAGCTTTGCTGTGAAATTAAGGTCCACGCAACCAACTTGTCCAGTCCAATGCGCGGCGCTGGACGCTGGAGACCTTTAACCGTCAGCTTGGCAGGCGCTAAAAGCGATAATGAAAACCCGGTATGCACCTGGTGTCCGGCAGTGAACTATTGAAGTAATGCTAGGCGCATCCCAACTTGGAAGCAAATAATGATCAATAATTTATGGTGGTGCCAGGTTGTACCTTTTGAGGCAACATTTCTACTCGGTTTGCTGCTCTTTTTGTTTCGCATTTTTGCTAACTTGACCGGCATGTTGCCGCCTAGTTTGCCGGGGGTTCGGCCGGCTGCTTGGCCAGGGCCGAAGCCACGATTTTCATCTTGTTTCTGGGGAGTGTTTATACTCCCAGGCTTACTCCAATATATATATAAATATGTATATGTATGTATATATATGTCTATATGTATGTATATGTGTATATATATATGTATATATATATGTATATATATATATGTATATATATATATACATATATATATACACACATATATACACACATATATATATATACATATATACACATATACATACATACATATATATATACATATTTATATATACACATATATAAACGTACATATATATATATATTTATATATATACAAATATGGATATATACACCGCTTTATCGGAGG